CTATGGCTTCTGCCATGCTGTCTTGGACTGCCTTCTTGCTCTAGCTTAGCTCTGAAATAGTTGTGTTGATTAGTTTCTGCTGCTTTGAAGATTCCTTCCCCTGCACTGTCAAACTAAATGAACAACACTGCACCTTCAGTGGGTTAAAATCCTCTGAAAACTCTTCAAATTTCTCAGTTAATTCTACCCATTACCAAAGCTCTTATTTTTTTAACCCATTACTTACCTGAAGACCTGATCCTGCTGCTTTGCGTAGGCAGGAAGCTCTGGGGACAGGGACTTTCTACTGGTAGGCTGGTACAGGACATTATAGTTGAGATATTATGATCATACCAATGTGGTGCTGCTACTTGTCAGTAGCAGTGGCAAGTCCTGCTGAGTTTAGTAGAAAACTTGAGTAACAACAGGTACAGGCTGAGGCTCCAGCAGTTGAATGAAGTGTGAACAGCTCCATTCTTAAAGCTATAGGAATTATTTGTGTTACCACATTAGCTGTCCAAACAGGTATTGCAATGCCATAACCCTCATTAGCAGGTACATGGGGAAATTTGACATGAGAAGTGAGAACAGTTGAAGTAATAACAGTAAAATTAGAAAGCAGCACTTGCTGGAAGCTGTACCATCTCCCAGACGCCGACAAAGTTCTTAAACAGTTTGTGTAGCAAGTGGTACAATATTTGTTCAAAAAACTGATATTTAAAAATCAGTGGCAAGATTGATATATTTAATTCTGCTGTTACATAAAGATAAGCTTCCACTGCAGTAAAGCTGGAGGAACACAGTCTGATATTTTGACATATATTGCAAAAGATGAAAGGGCTTTCTCTTAAGAAAAGCTAGTTTCTGTCATTCTGGCATCCCAAGAAATGCAGCATTTTCAGTCTGAAGCTGAGGTTCTCTTGGAATGTCTGTTACTTGTGGATGCCTCAATTTTCAGTTGTCCCAATCTCTAGCAGAGAGCCCTGGCTTTCGGATGCTTTCAGGAGCTGTTTGGACCCCCAGATGCAGGTGGTTGGCATGTCGGGGGCTTCTGGGTGACAGGCTGACGTGCTGGTTTTGCAGAGCAGTGTCCTGGACAGCTGGGGTTACCTACCCACAGTGTGTAGCAGCGAGGCGATGGGCTCGGCCAGACAGAAACAGGGCTCCTCCCCACCCTACACCCCACTGTCCTTCAGGTAACAGACAAAACACAAAAGATCTGAAGGGCTGCTTCATGGTAACTTTTAGCTCTGTGGGAATTGATCTATTTGGGTTTTTTTGATTTAGTACAATCACAGTTTTTACTGCTTCTGATGCTATCAAAACTTGAAGCATAGGCATTTGTCTAGTGTATACACCTACATTTTCTGACTCGGTTATTTCAAACTAGCAGTTCAAACTAGAGCTATTTTTTCTTTTTTTTTCCTTTGTCAGAGCAGAAACTAGATTATCTAGCAGCCACTGGTTCTTGTCATGTTACTGGTAGCTTCAGCAAATCATCCTTCAGATTGGTTCACATGCCTTATAAAAGTCTGTGTCTTACTTGTCCAAGTGAAATCTGGGGAGATCTTACTCATTAAGAGACATGGCTGTCTTTCACAGGAAGTTTCCTAAATGGATAGATACAGGAGGAGGGGAACAGACAGAACTGAAACCCTTAAAACCAAAAAAACCCCACCCCTGGAACAATCTTACGGTCCTCTTTATGTAACTCAATGCCAAAAGTATTTTTCTGAGTAGTTTGGTAGTTTCTGCCCTGAAGTCTGGAATGATTGGTGCTGTTTAGAATCATGTCAGGAGCTTCAGTTTGGTTTGCATGAAAATCTGCATTTCTGGTCATGTAGAAGGTTATCTCCAGAGGAGTGGGTACTGAAGTCTCACATCTCCGCTTATTCGTGTTTCAAATGGATTCTTCCTGTGAATCTGGTAAGATTGTGTTGTCCATTAAGCTCAGACAGCTTGACAGAAGCTGTACTTGAGCTGTTCATATGCCAGAAAACCCCTTTATGATGAGTTTAGAGGATGACGCTGTGTATCTGTGTAATGTGTACACGAATGCTTTGTGGCTTACACACATGTTCTCCCTGATACTTTTAATTGATAGTACAATGTGAGTAACTTCATTCAAAATCCAGATGCCAGGGTGAAGAGGAGGGAAATTCAGTGTTGGTTATTCTGTTACCACTGTCTAACACACGTACATTTTACCATTTAATCAGTAATGAAGGAGATGACTTTTGAGTGTCTAATCATTTAAAACTAATGGAAGTTACACATGATCTGATACAGAGCTTGTTCAGAAAGTAACAGGTTTTGTGGTTAGAGATTCAGGAAGTAGTGCTGGGTAGAAAATAAATGATGGCATTGATGAAAAATCCTCTTCCGATTTATGAAGTGCTCTGTTGACATGCCGGTGCGTGGGTAGGTATGTTGAGCGAAGTGAGTCTGATCTTTACCTGTTTATCATTGTCACTGCTGTAGCTCCACCTACTGTGTTACAAAGCTGCTGCCTCTCAGTGTGATCAGCTTTTATACCTGATTTCAGCCTTGCAGAGGGGATCAGATCCTAGCTCCAAATGTTTCTTGCAAGACTAGAATCCCAACTGAAGACACTTTTCAGGAAGAGTGCCGGTAGGCAGTCAAGTAGAGAATATATTTCTCTACCAGAAATAAATAACTTCTCATCGACTGGTATATTGTTTGGCCAGAGAATTCTGTTTTGGCACTTAAGAGAGTAACTTTTAGAAATCTTTCTATAAATTGTGTGCACTGGTCAGATATGAAGTAACTTCTGGAAGAGGTGCTAAATAATCTGATCATTTAAACAGCTTGTTGCATATTTACTGTTCAGAGCATTGCTACACAGATAATTAATAGTAGCCAATTCTTATGTCTGTTTTAGCAAGGGAAGGGCAGGGCCATTGTTTATTGCCCTTCAAAGCTGCTGCACTTTAGGGTACTGTTCCACTGTCACCCCACTTCATTCAGTAGAATAGGTCCAGATTTGTACTGGAGTGACTTTAGTGTAGATGTAAAGCTGAGTGTATAAAGCAACATACAAATTAAAAACCGATTGGAAGTTGCAGCAAGGGAAACTTTGTATAAATGTTAAGAACTTTTTTTTTTCATAATAGGGGCAGTGAGGTATTCAATGGAGACTCGAAAGAGGTTTTGGGGGCAGCTGTATCCTTGAGTACACTTGGATCACAACTGGGTAAGACCATGAGTGACCTGATGCAGCATCACAGTTGGTCTTGCTTTGAGGATGTGCATGTGTTGTGGGGGGATCCCAGGGTCCCTTTCCAGCCCTGCTTCCCTGGTCCAAACCAGCATTCTCCCCCTGCTTACTGGTAAGATCAGAAAATTGATCATTTCTGTGCCAACAGCTTTCCTTCCTGGCCAATCAAAACAAACACACCATGGATAAGGATAGGAGGGTGCAGACACCAAGGGTAAACACAAAAGTGACACCTGCCTTCTGTTACCGAGGGCGCTGGCTGCCGAGGATGCTGTGGTGTCCCACTGGAGCCTTCCTCTGCTCTGCTTCTTGGGCTTAAACTTATGCCTGAGTCTGGCAGTAAGCACGGCTTTGTTCCCCTGAAGGGGAGCAGGGGGCGCAACGGCTTAAGCTTGTTGGAGGGGTGAATGTTTGTTGTTGCAAAAGGGCATGATGCTGGTATTGGTGTAGCTATGGGAAGGGGGTGGTGGGTAAAGCCCCGGCACTGAGGAACACCATTTGCCATGTCAGCTCAGTAGAGCTTTTGAGCTCCCCCTGCCAGGGGGTCGGGGCAGATGCTGTGGCCGCAGCCTGTGGGGTTTGGCACATCCTTTGGCAGAGGCTGTGCTCTGGACAGGCAGCTCTTGTTAGTGTTTAGACTGGGGGGGGGAAGATGTCCAGGCCATGTAATGCTTGTGGCATGCTGAGCACTGGGTAACCTGGCCTGGGCCTGTGGGGTGTCACTGGTAATTCTGGTATTTGGCAAGAAGTAGTGGAGGCTGATCTTAGTGGCTTCTTACAGACACTGATTTTTTTTTTTTTTTTTTTTTTTTTTTTTTTTTTGTGTTCCCCTCCGCCAGCCCCCCAAGTTATTGACACACCGCCCTCTCAAACGAAGAGAACAAATGTTCTGTATCTTAGGTTGGGCTGTCAGAAGATCACATTAGCTGCTAAAGCTCAAGCTGCCACTCTGAGGGGAGCTTAGCCAGGGCTCATGGAGGCAGTGTGTGTTGAAAGGACAGGCACTGCAAGGCTGGTAATGCAGCTGTGATGTGCAAATGCAGGCTGGTTGGGGGGTTTTATGTTGGTTGCTTGTTTTCCCGGTGTTTGAAGGCCCTTCCTGCAGTGTCCCCCAGCTTGGTTTTCCTACTGCTGCAAGCCATGTGAGAGGCCTTTTTGACAAATGAGCCCAGATCTGTAGCTGTGCTGGTTCAGGCAGTATCTCAAGGCTCTACTGCCAGCTTGGTAAGCCCCACTTTCCTCTGTGGCTTGGGGTGACATGGGGGAGGGGGAAAGTGCTAAACCTGCCATGGGCAGACATCTCTTGTGCTTCTGCCCGAGGAGGAGGTTTTTGTTGGCTTTTGGTCACCACTCTGTAGGACCATATTGGCTGGTGATGACACACAGGAGGAAAAGCTGAGTTCTCTTTCAAGTGTGTTTCTTACTTCTTGGCACTTGCTGTTCCTCTTGAATTCCTTATTGCTCAAAGTGGACTTGAGCATCCCTTGCAGCTTTTTTTGATGTTTCCTAGACATGTTTTCCATTTAAGTAACTAGCAGGAATCTGAGAGCTGGTGACTTGCTAAACCTTTATGATTGTTCTAAGTGACCAGCACATCTGCTGTACGGTTTCTGCTTCCCCAGTCTTCCATCCAAAAGATGGCTTTGCTGAGGGTAGCCTTCCAGCATGGCTTCTGCTGACCAGTGGTCGCTTTTTAAGCTGCAAGAGCAGAATCTCTACAGTGACTTTGAAGAGAAACAAGTTCACACAGATAGACATGTCAGAGACAAACACAGGCTGAGAGTCACTTTTACAAGTTTCTTTATGAAATTAAATGTTGCCCCTGGTCTGGGGGGAAGATAATAGTGCAAGAATGACTTTGTACATGCTACTGAATTCAGATATCCCTGGATGACCAAACTTTGGTCAGCTACAGCATCAGCAAACACTGGATTTCTGAGCTCTGCAGACAGTGCTCACTCACACTAGTGTAGTGTTGGAATGAGCAGGTGAGTGTCTTCCAATGTCACAGGATGTTTCCTAAGCTAGGGAATTCAGTCAGTATGGCTTCTAACTCTCGCTATGGTAAGGCAAATCTTTCTTTTTGATAACCAAGGTTTAAATTAATTTTTTTGGCCACAGTTTGAAACTTGGGTACTTGAAGTGAGGCTCTTAATGCCAAATTTAGGCCTCTTTAAAGTGGCTTTCCATTTTTTTAAAGGTGTCAAAAACCTGTAGTGATACCCCTTGCTTTGAGGGTCTGTGGGAGTTTGCATAACAATCATGGTTTTAGTCTTTAGGGTTGAACTGTAGACTCTGACTTCTGGGAGCTAGGTTTGTAAATATTGACCTTTCTTAATAAAAAAAATAAAACAGACAAAACAAGCATCAAGTTAACAACATCTGACAAGAACAATTACAGACTTACAAAATACACAGTTCTGATTTTTACCATAAATAAACACATTACAAACAATGAGCATTTTCATTGGCCAGGAAATATGGCAGAATGATGGAGACGAGAATCTAAGGAATTGAGTACAGTATTAATTAGGCACATTTTTCTCTAACTTATGTAACTCAAACCCACTATAGAGATTCTTGAACTTTACTCATGCTGCAGGTTGATTGGCACAGTTTAACATACTCTATAGTTCATCAGTGGTGTTGAACCTAAAGGAAAGGAAAAGGTCACAGTGCAATACTCACTGTTGTCTTGTCTGAGTGCCTGCAAAGGCTAACCAAATTAGTTAGACATGTGTAGGAGGATCATGTCTCTGAGAAATGTGGGGAGTGGGGGTGGACAGAGAGCAGAAGGGTTTATCCCTCAATGGAAAATGTGTTCTGTCAGTGACTGAGCATGTCAGTGGGCACGGAGCTGGCAGGTGTATCGACTGCCCTCCCCTCTCTGACAGCTGCCAGGCAGCAGGAGTGTCCGCAGCGGGAAGGAGCGAGGCCAAGTACAGCTGATGAGCAGAATCTTTTCAGGTGAAACATGTCAGGCTCCCTCCTGTGATCTCTTCGTGGAAGTTTGCCTCTTGGGCACTGTGCAAGGCTGGCTCGATGGGACTGGCACAAATGCACACGTGTGTGCAAGCACACACCCCGTGTCACCTCAGAGCCAGGGTGGTCAGTTGGTCTGCAAAATAAATAGGGAAGGCAGGAGCACATGTGCCATCCTCTGTAAACAAAGGATTGGAAGAACCTGGGCTCCACCTCCCAGGACTGACGGTTAAAGTGCTTTTTCTCAGAAGGGGTTGAGGCACAAACACGGGGCTGCCCTTATTTCCGGAAGGGCGTCAGCCTGCTGATGTTCTGCCAGAAGTTCGAGGGCTTGCGCTTGGGCTCTGCCAGCATGAAGACTTGCTGCTGAGGGAGCGTAGTAGGCAGGGTGGGATGCTTCTGACGCATCAGAAAGTCATAGTATGGCCTGGTGACAGCTGTGATGAGAAGGAGATGGGAAGCATGTTAGCTGAGCACAGCTGCCTTGCCCAGTCCCTGTTAAAGGGGAGTGAACTGGGTTTGTTGTAGTGTTACCCTTTGTTTCAGCACAGCTTTTTAGGGTTAGAGTTGATGCTGTGGAAGTCCCAGAAACCTGAAGCAGAACTGACAGGTGTTATGACAGCAGGGCTAAATAGCTGTAGCACATCATTAGTGACAAACTGAACTGGTGCCTTTGGTTGTTTTGGGAGAAGCAGGTGCTGTGCATGTGCCTCTGTTGCCTGGTATAACTTCCTGCGCTGGATTTCTGAGTCGTAATGGTTGTGCCTAGCCTGCGGCCAGCGCTGCCTTGGGGGGTCTCCTCTCCTGCTTTGCCCCCACAGCTTTGCTCTGTTTGACAGGTCTGGCCTCCTTCCAAACTTCCATCTGTTTGCAGCCAAATCTTACTTCTGACTTACTTTGGAATTTAGCCAAGCTTTCTTACTGGAGACTTGGCTAGGATTTAACTGCTGGCTGATACCACCAAGAGGAAGTGGTTGCCTCTCTGTGCGTCCAGAGGAAAGCAAGTGACATTTCTTTCCTCTGGATATAAAGAGGGGTGGTGGCAGCACGAAATGATGTACCAGGAATCTACAGCTAACAGGGCTGTGGGGACGGTTGCTTGAGTTTATGCTCCCCTTGCTGCTGCTAAATCTTCCTCGTCTCTTTAACAATGGTTTAACAATCAATCAGCTCTGTCCATGAGCATGGTACCTCCCCATGGCATTCTGCCAGAATCGCAGGTCTCAAAGCATCTCCCACAGGCACAATTGCACAGGCAGGAATAGTCCCTGCTGCAGTGACCTTTATGACTCTCTGCATCATGGGGATTACTACAAAACTTAATTTGCCTTTTCATAAAGGGAATGCCATACTGCTTGGAGGGCCTGGCTTTTAGGGTGAGGATGTGAACTAGCCTTCAAACAGAAGCTGCTGGCTTGTGTGTAACTGGTTTCTGGCACAGCACTCACATGCAAAGCAGCTCTCCTGGAGTTAGGAACAGTTTCCTGACTCCAGCTGTCTGAATCTACCAGGAGCCACATTGCAGATTGTCACATCACAGCTCGCCATCTGGCCCTCTTGAGAGTTTGTTAATGCCACTTCACTGAAACTATTCCCATATAGTAAATATAGACCCACCACCCGCCCCCAGTTCTAGCAGCATTTGTATGTTCAGGTGTGACTCACCCTTAGGCTTCCCAGTATGGTGCTGCTTGCTGGCATTCAGCATCGCCTGCTTTTTCTGCACCTCTGTGATTGAAAAACCTTGAAGATAAAATAGAGTTTGTCAGCAGCAGGTCAGCATTCTGTATCTCATGGGAAGACACTGGCATAGACAGTAAGGGAAGTATGTGGGTAGGAAAATGCCTAAGGGGAGAGGTCACAAGTTAAAACTACTCCCAAATGTGGAAGGGGCCCTTTTGTTCCCCCCTGCCTTCACCGCACCACTGTCCCTACCTCTCATGCAAGGTTTACTGCCTGTCTTCCCCCACTGCCTGCCCAGACCAGTTGTGGTTCAAATCTCATTAGATCACAAAAGTCTGAATTAAGCAGGATTTGGACAAAAGAATGAAAACCCTCTCTCACAGTGAGAACCCTTGACTGAACATGTTTTGTATAGATACTGCCAAGTTGGGCACTCAATGCTGTACTGGAAAATAATGGAAGCTGTATGTAATGTATTGACTATTTTGTCAGCCCTGCCTGAACTCATTAAAGACACATCACCCTCCCTGAGGACATTCTGCAGTGTCTGCTCACAGTGGTTTGTCTTTTTTTTTTTTTTCCAGTTGCACACATTCAATCAGAATGTGCTGTTCAGCAGCCCAGAGCTGGACTCGAGCATTCCCTGCCCTTTCACTCCTGTGCATTGGCTAGTGGTTAAAAAAAAAGAAAGAAAAGAGAAAAGAGGCCAAATACCTGTCTCACAGCATCATTCTTTCCATACCTGTCTCTTGGTCGAGCTGAACCTGTCTCCTTTCATTCTCAAATGCCTTCAGCCAGCGCTGTTTCTGCTCAGGCTTTTTTGCACAGAATATGTGGACTTCCTCAGTGTCTCGGCAGTGCAACTTAAATGCATTTTTCACACTGATATTGAAGTCCTTGTCTTTTCCATCTTCTACATCCAGTATTTCCATATCATCCATGTTGATCCGGCTCTTATAATACAAGATGTCCCGGCGCAGAAGGTCCTTTAAGAGAGATCATACAAACTCATACAGACGTTACTGTTTCCTGTCCTGTCCTTTCCTTAAACATTTGTTTCCTTTTACATGATGGAGTATTTAATCACAGTCCTGTAAGAGAAAGCTGATAGTGGATTTGAATCTATGGAATTGCAGCATGCTAAGCTCCTGTTGACACCATTGGCAGTGAGGGGAATCGCAGGGTTTCTTCTAGTGGTGGGGTCACACTAGGCTGGCAACTACTGCTCTGGGCTATCAGCAGCCCTGAAGAGCTCTGAGGGAGAAGCAAGCTTGTGTTATTACAAATCTGCACTAAGCCCCTATCAGAAAAGTAGTATTTGAATCCTACAGTCCCAGTTAGAAAAGACAGAAAAGTCCTAATTAGCTTTTGGTTTTTGTGTTGACAATGAAAAGTAAATTTGAGAGCAGTAATAAAACTGTGAGGATCTCACGCCTGAGTTACCTGGAGCTACCTCTGTGTCATAGATTATGCAAAAAAAAAAAAAAAAAAAAAAAAAAGGCATATTCAGTTCTGAAATTCCAATGGAAGATACTTCTCATTTGCTCTATGAAGGGAGATTTCCTTTTATTACTTAAATTATGAAAAACAACATGGGCTGCACTTAAGACTTACGTACGATGTTAATACAGTCTTACTGGCTGTCAAGACCCACAGCTTTTCACTGAAGCTGCAGTTCCCTTCTGCATATGATATAAATCTCACGTAGAAGTGCAGTTGAAAAAGAGAAAATGGGTGACAATGTTCATACTTGAGTTGTATAGAATAAACCCCTACGCTAACCCTAGCAGCAGTGCAATGCTTTCCTCTCTTGCTGTAAGAATTAGGCCTGTAGTTAGTTCCCGTAGCTTACTGCTGTGGTCAGGTGCACAGAACACACCAGGATGGCAGAGGAAAGACTGCAATGAATGCACATAAAAATCTGTGCCAGAAGCACAAATGATGCCAGTATTAAGGAAACAAAGGGTAGAGAGGGGGTTCACTCAAATTCTTTATGCATTTGTGCCTGGCTAGTGAGGTTACCTTCTTGCAGCAGACAAGCTGGTGATCAAAGAGGAAGAACATCCGCTGTTGGCTCTTGGCTTGAGGGTGGGAGATCTTGGCTAATTCCCCAGAATAGATGAGTTCTGAGCTTCTGACTAGGACATCTTCACCCTGAGAAAAGCACAAAGAACAGGTTGGTCTTGGCCATCTGAAAACAGGGGATAAGAAATAAGCCTGTAGACTCATTGGAGCACCTCAGCTTGGCTGAGGAGCCTGTGTTGCTGTGGGGCCTCAATTCCTGCTGATGAAACTCTCTTCTGGGAAGGAGAGGGAGCCTCTGTGCTGGAGGGCAGTCCTTGTCACAGCAGGGAGGCACTCTGCCCTTGGCACCCAGGGACTGGGAACTGAATTTGATAAGAACAATAGTGTGTTAAATGAAAAAAAAAACAAAACTCCTTTTTGCAGGGAGTCTGCTCAGGGTAGCTCATCTATCCCTGACATTAAAGGAGGTACATAAGTAGAGAGCTGAGAATTTAGCCTGACATCCTTGGGGAGGGAAACAATAAAACCAGACTGAGTCTAGGACTTAGGAAATCAGTAGTTTTGTTTCTTTTATTTAGCAATTTTTTTTAAATGGGTCTACTAGTAACCTTGGCTTCCTTTGACGCTATATCAGAGCTTGCCTTTCTGCAAGAATAATGTGTTTTATTAAGCCTTAAGGGGCAATTCTGCTCATCTTAAGAGTTTTAAATCACTCAAGATAAAATGGGGGGCAAGAGGAAAATAATAGGATTTTCCTAACCTCCATGCTAGTTTTATTCTGCAAGGAAAATGAGGAAGCAAAAATCCCAGGGAACATGCAAAGGCAGCTGGTCTAGCTGGGTTATGTGTAGACCTTTTCAGTTTTACTAAAAACATCACATTTGTTTAAATAAAAAAAAAAAAACAAAAACCAAAACAAGCTACAAAGAGGGATATCAGAACAGAGGTAGAACTTAGATAGTAATCCTTATGAAGATCTTGTTGTAGGCAGAAGCTGTTGGAGAGGGAGAAGAAGGGCAGCACAGAACATTGAGTTAGTGAGGAAAGTAAGTCTCTCACCTCCCAGTCTTCTATTGAACTCTGCCACTGAGCAATTTTGTCGATGTTCTCCAGCCGCCGCTTTCGCTCATTGATGAGCCGAGCAACGTTCTTCATGGCATTTAAGGCAGCTTCGACATCTTTAAAATCCCTAGGGTAGGGCAGAGGCGTTAGTCATGACAAAATGACACGTGCTCATTGTACCTACACTCCAAAGGGCTGCAGTCTAGCATGGCCTAGGGCTGGAGAGCAGAAAACAGTTCTATCCCAGCTGTTTTATACTGGAGGTACATGTTTCTGTGGGCAGCTTTTCAGACACATGCTGATTTTGAGACACAGATTAGAGTCTTGTAACAAATCCAGGCCCAAACTGTGGAAGGGAAGGGAGTAACCAATCAAATTCAGCCACAAAGGTGTAAATACAAGTTGCTGGAAGAATCTCCAGGGGTTTCCAAGCTTAGGTTTTTTCCCTCAATATAATACAATATATTCATGATGACACTGTTTTTATACAGGGACTGGTTCTGTCACACAGAGGTAAAACAGTTCAGCAGTAACTAGCTTAATTTCAAATAGGAGCTAATGGTTTATCTGCAAGGGCAGGGCAGAGGCTGATCTGCCATCCCCCTCACATCATCTGCTGGCACCAGCTACCTGTGCTGAGCTTAGAGTAGCTGGGAGGGAGCCGTTCCACACAACTTGTCTCTTAACGCAATTTTCAAAACATCTGTGTACTGCATTAAGGACCTTTCTGCTAAGAGGTCAGCTTCAGAACAACATGCTTATAGATTTAATAAGACATGCTTAAAACCATTCTGAGAAACACCAGTGTTGTAATTAGGAGGGTAAAATTAAGTCAAGCCACAATGGACCAATAGCAACATTTTGCTTTAATTGAGATTTTACATGTTTTATTTCTGTAGCTAATTATTTCAGATGCTTAAGTGACACAGTTATTTGAACTGAGGGCAGTGCCTTCAGCCTGAAAGGGAGCAATAGATTTGGAGCTTTTGAGCTGGCGCTGAAGAGGCACCGAGTGTGCGTGGCTTGGCTGCTGCAGGGCACGACTTCCCCCTGGGGAAGCACCGGGCAAAGCTCGTGACTGCCACTCTGCCCTGACATGCTGTGGCACTTACATGGACACTTCTGGGTATATTCAAACTGCTTTTGAAGGCAAAGTTTTCAACACCACCACCAGGAACATTTAGCTCCAAAGTATGTATGTGCCAGTATCACATGTATGTGGGCCAAATGCAACAGAGAAGTATCACTGTGAGGTGGACCTTGCAACTCCAGATCTGTAACAGTCAGGAAAGCCCAGTGCTACTGTAGTGGAAAATGATGTACTGGTGTCACAAACTGTTTGTAAACAAGAAGGTGTTCATAAAGCGGATGTCCCAAACACTCGGGTGGGACGCCCTGGGGGGGGGGAGCGGAGCGAGCTCTGCAGAGGTGGGGTGGTGGGACGTTTCTTTCCCCCTCCCTCCTGCTGTTGCCCAGAGATAGAACTGCGCAGGTACAAGCCAGAGAAAATGAGAGCCTTCTGGAACAACCTGTTGCGTAAGAGAGGCTATATAAAGGCAACACCCCACATGTGTCTTTGTCAACCCACCACCTATGGACTGAGCTGGCTACTCTGACAACATGGGATCCAAGGGTGGTGATTTCCCCTTTCCTCTGCCCCCCTCCCCTCTTTTCTCGTTCCCCTTTCTGCTCGCTCTCTTACACATATATTCACGTATACAAGTTTTGTACAAATTAATTTGGGATCGGTTGGTCGTTGATGGGTTATTAGGAAAACAGTCTCCTTGCCAAAGTGCCTTTATTCATTTTTGGACAGTTATCAGTTGATTGTTGCCAAATTGTCTCCATTCATTCACTAAAGTGGCCAGTTAATAAAGTCACCAGAACAATTGTTCCTCTGAGTCATTGTGACTTGGCTGCCCTGCGGCTCTGCCATCTTCCACCAGCACAGAGGCTCTCGGGAAATTCAAAAGATTCACCCCCCTCTAACCCACCACATGGGACGAGACAACTTGACAGAAAAATACTGTTTTTTCCTGGTTTCTATGAGGTAACACAGAAGAACTGTGGTAGTGGCTGCTCTTGGCAAGCTGCCTTCAATACACAATTCTGCGTTAGTCCATTTCCATGAGAGCAGTCTCGCTCCTTCCCACCCGCCGTGCTGCCCTACCTGTGCTGGGGGTTGGTGTATTTGAGCAGTTCAGCCAGTTGCAGTGGATATTTGCAGATTTTCTGCACGGGAGTCAGCAGAAACCCATCCAGAGAGATATCAATCATTTTCTGCAGCAGGCGGCAGGCTTCGAAGAAGTAGACGTACTTGTTAACTTTGGTGAGGCGGGACAGCTCCATGCAGGCATTGGGGTGGTTGTTGCAGTACTCAGAGTATATCTGAAACTCTGTTTGCTGAAAGGGAAATGAACGGATTTACTGTCCTTGTTCTTTAGGGTGATGGCCTGGCTCAAACTGCTGACTCTGAGGTCCCTGTGTAGGTCCTACTCCTGTATCACATGGGGAGGGTTGGTAAGTGGGATCCTCCCCAGATTTTGAAGCCTGGAAACCTAAAGTTGGAGATGGGCAGGGTGTATTACAAGTTACAGCACGTGCAGCTTATCTGAGAGACCGGGACATTTCCACATATTCTGGCCTGTGCTCAGCGGAATGTTTTTTATGACTGGATCAGCCATTGCTGATCCTGCACTGACCTGAAAATACCACAGCTGTAAACTCAGGTCCAGCTTGAGATTTAGGAATCTTCCTATTTTTGCCTAAAGTAGCATGGCAGGGATTATAGCGATTGGAGGCTGAGGCACTTTGAAAATGTTCTTTCCACAGCCACAAGAGCTAGAGGATATTTCGCTGGGAGGTGGGTAGTGGTTGAAGGGGGGGGGG